GAGAATTATAAAACAATAAATGGCACCCATATAAAATTCAACTTCTTGAGGTATTTACGGCGGCAGAAGTAAAAATACCAGAATTCAATAATATACGTTTATTTATTTAGCAAAATGTTTCCAAATATTTAAAACCTTAGAAACAACAAAAAATTGTAAAAAGGATGAAGACAGGTTAGAAAAAAAAATGTCATATTGTTCGCGTGTTGTCAGGTGCGCGCAACCAGTATTTTGCCAAATACATTGTGTTAATTTGCAGTCATCGCAAAGTTAATCTAAAACTTTTAATATGGAGGTGTTACCATGTTGTAAGTACTTTAAATCAACGTATATATTAACGATGTAAATATATTTTCTCTAAGTGAAATATCCAATTATCTAAACAGAGGATAAAATTTGCATTGTTTATTTTATTATTAAGTTTGTTAAAGGGTTAAAAAACAGTTGGGTCTTGACACTTGAAGTGGAAGGACGCGTCAATATAGCTAACGAGACATCTCCTAAGCAGCGTATACGATACAAACTTGTAAAGTACCAAAAACGAATCTAAGTATTCGGAAATATCGGTAATCGGTAGTAAATTAATAATTAAATAAATAATATTAATTAATAAATAAACAAACAAGTGCGAAAAGTGCATCAAGTGAAAAGTGCGGGTCGACCCAGGTGAACGCCGTAAAAGAGTGCAAGTGAAGAAGTAATTAAGGCTAGGCCACAACGTTAAGCCAACCGGCCCAGCTGGTCAGCAGAAATTTGCCACAACCAAAGCGTGCCAAAAAACTGCAGGCGAGGCCATTAACAACGGCCAGCCCGTGAAAGACAAAGCATCAGGATTATAGCCTAATAAGCAAGCTAAGTAATTTTTATAATTGCATGTCTTATTAACAAAACCATTTTATTCCAAAAATCTAAAGTAAAACGTATTATACATCGATATGATTGTATGATTTGATATAATTTAATCGTTAAATGTTTATATTCGCAAATTCGCAAGGCTGTCTAAAAGTCATCTGGCTTCAGAAATTAAAAAGGTCCCTACTCTGAGAAAAGTAAACTACTTTAAGATTTAATTAAATGAACAGTTTTGGGTACACTCAATACGCCCAATGCGCATAACTAACTAATTTAAAAGTCGATGATACCTACAGTCTTTAAATTAAACCCGTAGGTACAGTTGAATATACAGTTTTTCTACTACAAATGTACAAAAATTTCAACAAAACGGTAAAGACAGTAAATCATGAAAAATCTCTAACAAGCACTCTGATTGTTTGTCTAAGATTTCTTTTTATTGTCTCAAAAACTAAATTTAAAATAATAATAAGTGACATTTCCTTAAGTTAAACAAACAACCTCATTTTCTCAGAGTAGACAAACCGTAAACAACTCAATCAAATTGAAAAAAGCGTAAGAGTAAATAAACCAACCAAGCAAGATGACAAAAAAATTAGATAATAAATAAGTGTTGTGTGTTAATATTTAATATTGTATACATTTAAGAACAGCCAAATAAACACAATCTAAAATACAAGAACAGCACAAAATATAAGAAGAACGACCATATGGCCGCATTTCATTACGCACACCACAGGGCCGTCTTTATCGATTTTGTATATTAATAATTATATTTTTAAATTAAATTTTGGAAAAAAAGTAAGAATGCAAAGATATAAATTAAATGAAATCGATATAAACACTAATATAACAATAAAATATATAAAGAATATACAAGGTTGGTAGCCGGCACTGGGCATCAGGAATCCACCAAGGCAGAGGGCACTTACGGTGTGGCATAGCCGCCAACACCTCGGTACGGAAGACAAGACTCAGTATCACACAGGGGGGCAAACAATTCTAAAGAGGTTACCAGGAACCTGATACAGACTCGGACAGATGTGTTTAGAAATACACCAACAAGGACAGGTTCTAGCAGCGTACTAACACTTCTACCCCCATTCATGAATACCAATTGAATGGGGTTATTTCTAAGTCCCAGGTTGAGGGGGATTCCGGATTGTACTTAGTTTTGGGTCAGTTCAATGTCCTCCAAAAACCCGTCCTAATCTGGACGTATTGCCCGACCCGGCTGACAAAAATCCGGGAGCGGCCTTAACCAGAGACACTGTCATCCACGATCTCCTAGGGTGGATCTACCAGCCGGCGTAAAAACTTCGGATCCAACAAACACAGGTAATGCTGTGATTTGGCGGGATACGCAGGAGAACGGAAAGGGGGTAAAATAACCTTGGGAGATTAGTGGAGGATAATATCTTTGGGGCCTGCCATACGTTCCCATACTCATACTCAAGTTTGTTAAAGGGTTAAAAAAAAGTTTTGCAAAGTTTTGCTTTGAGTGCCAGCTTAATCAATGGAATTGAATATGGGTTTTACGTGGAAACTATTCTTTTATCCACATACTTGCACATTTAAGTGGTTTCGTCTTTATTTTCAAGTTGTGAGCTAAAAAGTGTATCACAAGAGAACATATTAAGTCCTAAAAAAATAACGTTTTTACAAGTATTCGCCAATAAAGTGTTATAAATGATTATATGAATATATTTTGAGCAGTTTACACCCTTAGACTTTGTATTTAATGTGTTTAAAACCCATAGATTATTCGTAATTATACCTTTATTTTTTCAAGAGTCCAATCATACAATGTATATCATTATTTCATTAACGTATTAAAAATATAATATTTTTTTAAATAAGGTTTATTTACAGAAATATTGTTGCCAAATTTCGGAAACTGGTTAAAAAGGAAATGTTCTGAGGGATATCAACTGTTATACTTAATTTGGTAAACATCTGTATAAAACAGTGGCGCCCTCATCGTAAAAACGGTGAACCGGATTGTGTGACTGTATGTGTATCCAAGTCGAATTGACCTTGTAGCTAAAATTTAGTTAACGTCCAAAAATGACCTTGACTACCCATAGTAAAAAGATGCACATGCTTTCCAATTGTCCTCCGATTTTTCGAATGCGGCTCCGATTTCGTTTTTTTTATTTATGCACGGTAATTTCGATATTAGAATTAGTCAAAGTATTGTTTACCTACTTTACTTTATATGAAAGAATGGCTTACTTTCTAACTTTGGACCCCAAAATGACTTAAATAGATAAAAACAATAAAAGTATCTAAAGAAAACACTGTTTGGATATTTTTGACGCCGTAAATACATCATTTTGCCTTACCTATTTAATCCGATTTAATTATAAATACGCCCAACTACCTTTTTAATTTTGCTTCTCAGACGAATGTTAATTTTTTCTTAATGGCATTGTTAATCGTCATAATTGTCGATATTGGTCCGACACGAATCTAAGGATCTTCCATGAGGTTCATACTCAACATCCTCAGAAATTAAACGTTTGGGCTGGTATAATTAGACCATTTTTCTTACCGGGAAATTTAAATAAAGCTAATAATTTAGACTTGTTAAAGGATTCCGTTAACCCAGCGCTGATAGAAATTATGGAACACCTTGAAGAAAATCCGATATTTCCGCATTCCCCATTATGCATTACCTGAACGGCAGTTTCTGGATGAAACGTTTCCTGGTAGATGGATTGGGAGAAGGGGTGCTATCTAATGGCCTGCAAGATCACCGGATTTATATACCTTTATTTATTTTTGTGGAGAAATCTGAAATCCAAAATTTATGTCACCCAGCCTAAATCCTTAAAAGATTTACGGAACCTTATCACCGATATTCTTTACAATGTCCGGGAATACTTTGAACAGTTGCTGTAGTATTGTATAGAAGTGAATTAAATTTCTCAACATACACCTTTCCATTTGAAAAAATTAATGTGAATACCGCCCCCGCTAAGGGGTTATAGTGATGAAATTAATATGTAAATATATAACCCTGAAAGCAAACGTATACGGTTCCAAAGATTTTTTTAATTTTCACATACATATATACCTAGGGGAGACCGGGGTAGAACGGGGTACCGGGGCAGAACAGTGTTTTATTTAAATTTCCCGCTGCAGACGATCGAGTTATCATTTACTAGAAGGCCAACACGTCAGTTGTTAATGACAAACAGGTTACTACAAACGTTTTAGTGTGTTTTAGACTAAAAGTGGTGAAATTGTGTTTAGTTTTGAAACTTTTCGATATATATATTGTACATACCCTTTTTCAGCTTCATGAGGGTTGGATTTTATGCACACAGTGCCAAAAGTGGGCTCACAATTCGTGTGCGGGGATAGAGAGTGATGACGACGATGCAGAACTTGTCTGTGAATTGTGTAAGTTCGATAACCCCATTCTGCCCCGTAGGCGCGGCGGAATGGAGTAAAGGACACTTTTTTTTAATACGATAATAAAAATAATTGTTAAGCATTTATGTTAACTTTTTTTTGCTATTTTGTTTATAATACTTTAATAAATCGTTATTTTTTGAATTTGTACCACGTCTCTACCCTACTAAAAATAATTTTTAAACTTTAGAGTCCCCATTCCGCCCCGGTTTCCCCTACGCACGTGTTTTAATAATAAAATTATTTATGAAAGTCAATACACTTTTTCATTCATTTGAACCCATTTTCGTTCTTAGCACGTATTCCACTCAAGAATCAATAAGAAAAAATGTTTGATAATAAATGAATCATTGTTATTTTTTGGGCTCATATCAAAAACTTAACCCCAATTTTGCGGGATTCTGCACTTGGTAAATTTGGTCGAAACTTATTTTGAAACAACAAAAAAAATATTAATTCAAGTCTGTATGCACTTTAATAATACAAGTAATGGTTTTTGCACGTTTACTTAACCATCTAAAAATATCAAATTAAATTGTTTAATTTAACAACAAATATTCTCATTTTCTTCATTTGACTAATATTTAGCTTGTGTTCTGTAATTTACTGTCAGTATTGTCAGCAAGGGCGTACCCAGGATTTGAAATAGGGAGGGGCTGGCCAAAAAAAAACCAATGGATTTTGCATTTTTTTTTATTTACTAAATTTTGACATAACTAGCTAAATTTTTACTTTAATAACAATTTTCTTGGATTTGCCGCAAAATTATTTAAAACTTTATTTTCAAATTGCTCTCGATTTGATTTAATTAAATCACGATGCACACTCATCAAACATAATCCTGTTAGCCTTTCCTCTCCCATGGTACTTCTCAACCAAGTCTTCACTCTTCGAAGAGTACTGAAGGATCGTTCTACAGTGGCCGTGGTGCATGGAATTGTGATTAAAATCAAAAGTGCCTGTTTTAGGATGGGGTAAAAAACATCGGTCTCATCGAGAAGGTCAATTATTTCGACGCCTTTTAACTGATCCTCAGTTGTCTTCTTTTCCTTCCACAAATTATACCATAGGTCCATTTCCGCAGTAATATCATTCAATTGATAAAACCCGGTAAAATATTGTGCATTTTTTTCTACTTGATTGATTTCCATTTCGAGCATATATAATGGATGTATTTTTGTTAAGGCAAACGCTGGGGTATGTTCTTGGGAAAAGCGAATATTTAAAGAAGCTATAATTGAATCCAGATACGGTATAATTAATGAACGCTTCCAGTAGTCACTATCACAGTCCGATGGAGGATTGCTTCTATGTATTTGCCTATTGGTAGTTCGAGGGATAGAAATTTCTATTTCCAATTTCAATGCAAAGTCTTGTGCTTTTTTAAGTACTTCATCAGTAACTAGGTCGGCATCATCACGGTTTTTCTTTAGTACGTTAAGGATTACATTCAGATGTTCTTGCAACTTAATTAAATCCATAGTTTTTGCTTGCAAGGCATTAACTACCGGCTCCAGTAAAGCTGAATATTTTGCTATTACAGTTAGAGCAACAATTAGTGAGGATTTGGTAACGGCGGAATACAACTGGTACGCAGATTTTCTCGTGGCGTAGTTTCCTTCGATGGAGAGTTTTTCAAGTGCTTTGACAATCTCGGGAAAATTTTGTGCAAATAAGCGAATACTTTTGTATTTTTCAGACCATCTAGTCTCACACAGTCGTGACAGATTAGGAACGGAACTTCTGCGAGTGGTGGATTCCCTGAAAAAGGTTATAACATCCTTTACGGTGCCAATAGTGTTTCTAATTTCCGAAACATTATTTGCATCATTGACAACAAGATTTATTTTATGGTTTGAGCAATGAAAAAATAATGCTCGTGTGTACTTTTTCCTTAAAATCGCTTGTACGCCACCCTCTTTGCCCGCCATTGTAGCGCAGCCATCAAAACCAAGTCCTACACAACTTTGAGGTGAAAAATTATAGCTAACCAAAAAATTGTCTATTGCATTGGCAATTGTTGAGGCATCTTGTGCTGTCAGCTCCACAAAACCCACAAATTCTTCTCGGACTTTTTTTTTACTTTCATCATAGAATCGTAAGCCAATAGACAGCTGTTCCTTTCCTGAAACGTCGGCTGTCTCGTCGGCTAAGACTGTTTAGAACATGGCTTTCTTAGCATCATTTATCACACTCTCCCTAATAACTTCGCCACATAAATATATCAGTTGGTTTTGTATTTTTGGTGACGTATAAACGGCATTTCTACGACACTTTTTCAGGTGATTCTTTAATTTGATGTCGCCCGACTCAATTCGCAAATGCATTAGATCGAAAAAAACTCCCTCATCTGCTTCTTTTCCTCTAAGAGCCATATCGTGGGTGCCACAGAATACTATACAGGAAATAATTGAGGCCAATATTTGCTTGTTCTCTTCGATTGTTTTTTGGTGGAAACTTTGAATTTGAATGTCCACAGGTATATTTTCGAGAAAGGCCTTTGCAGCAGCAGATGCAGTTTTGTGAAAGTTATTGGTGGCATGTTTACGACAATCTTCGTGCATATTCTTAAACTTCGTAAATGGCCTGATCATAAATGAACCCAACACTCCCCTTACTATCCCAGTGGAAGGAAGAAATAAAACACAGTGCTTACACAGAGCACCCTTTAGTCGCTTGGAATACACTAACCATGGTGTGTATTGATCTAACCAAGCATGATTAAATTTTCTTCGCAAATGACTCGCATCGGCTGCAAAATCATAATTCTTGGGTGGAACCCACGGATTTTTTAACAACTCCTTTTTTCTTTCCATCGTCAGGTGAAATGTTTGTCCTACATAACGACCCAGGTCATTTTCGTGGCAGCCATCATTCTCTTCAATTTCGGGATTGACTACAAAGGCAGATGTTGACGGTAAAGATTCTAAATCAGAAACAGTGACTTTTTTAGATCCTAAAGAATTCAACGGTTGTTCAGGTTCAGTTTTAGAAGAGCTTGGCGATGAAATTTGATCATTATTATCAGAGCTCCCGCTGCTGCTGTCACGTTCTTTTTTCCTCTTTAGAGTTTTAGCAGCTATAAAACACAAAAATACCGCTATAAGTATTTTATACAATTTGATTCATGAAGTCAAGCTTATTTTCGGTGTTAGTACACGAATAAATTTCAAACTATAGCTGTTGCCTGAAACTTCGTCCGCGTGGAATTCGCTTATATGAAGTGTCAATTGTCAAAGCCTCTATATAGTAATATGTTAGCTCGGGATTAAAACACAGCTTATGCGCATTACTTTTAATACTTATATTTTTCCTAGGAAGCTCCCTCTTTTTTAAACAAATTTTTAATTTTCGTTAGCTTTAGATATTTAACAAAATTTAAATTTCAGTTTTGAATCTAAAGTTTGATGTTGGGCTTCTGTATTCTAAAACTTCAACCCCTTCTTTTTACCCTTTTTGGGGTTATATTAAAAAACCCTTTATGTTATCGTAATTTACTTTAAATTTAAAAAAAAAATGTTTATTTACTCCTTGATTTTTTTTTTAAATATCAAAAACTTTCTGTAATGTAATGTAATATACTATTTCTTTATTCTTTATAGTACCCTCCCTTCTTATGCTAAAACTTTTACGAAAATATTTTTTATTTTTAAAAAAGGCAGTGCCGTTATATTTTTTCTTCAAAGATATTCGGTCGAAACCCCATATCAACACCAGTGGTAAAAATTTAAGAAAATCATATTTATCAAAAAATGCCCCTTAATGGTAAAAAGGCCTGTACGAAATTTCATAAAAATATTTAGAGTGATATACAAACGATTGTTTTCTTAAAGTTTCAACACCCTGTAAGTATCTCGAAAACGAAGGTCGCTTCGTTTAGGAAATGTCGATACGAAAAAAGCTAGATATATCTAGCACATTTTCGTTTAAAATTAGGTAAATGAGAATTCAACTTCTTCCTTTTGCCAGAGGAATTAGGAAACACCCTGTATTCCCTGTATAAAACATAATTGAAGAAAATGGGATATGTTACCTTTCCTATAAGTCAGGTTCTATTTCCCTACATATCCCATTTTTGAACCAGCCATAAAGAGTACATTTTGAAGCCTATTTTTGCACTTAACTAAGTTTTTTAAAATTGTGCACATAACCCCTTCTTGGACCAGGGTCTTCAATTATAGAAAATAATAAGAAATCACTTACCTGTTTGCAAAAATTTCCTGATATCCATTTATCAGTGTAGAAATGCCGTAGATTCTGATTTTCCAATACAATGTTTATTAGTGTAATTACACACACAACTAAGTAAATTAACTCCACTTGCACAAACAAATTAACACCCCTGATAGTGCCTAGACCAAATGAAAATAATTAAATTCCGTATTTCAAGTGTTAGGTTAGAAAAACAATGATTCAAAAAATTCACGACTGCAAGATTTCGGCCGTTCGACGTTCAACTGGTTTGACGCATCGCCTACGTACACGAACTTGCAAAGCTTCGAGCATGCGCAATTAAGGATTTTTATAACAAATGTTATTGTTAAGGTATTAAGAAGAAGTAAGGTATTATTAAGTTTTTTTAAGTAGCTCAGGCGCGCGGAATTATGCTCAAGCCCGCCTGAGCTACTTAAAAAAACTTAATAATGGCTTAATATTCAGATTTGCCTAAATTAAATCATATCCAATATGGGATATGGCTCAGGATACCATGTTCCCACCCAGGAGGCTCGGGTTTAAATCCCACGTGACGCATGTTCTTTTTTAATTTTTTTTCTCTCTCAAAAATACTCAATTTTGGAAAAAAAATCTTTTTTTTTATTCTCAAATCAACTTATTACAATGTGACAGTAGTTCTATTATAAATAAATTCATATTTTATTACTTAAACTTGACAGTAACGGTAACTTCATCGGTAATCACTTTCTGCACAGAGAAAAGTAATCTCTTGATTTTACTATATCTGTCTTGACTCAAATAAATTATTTATTTCGATATGATACAAGAAGATATTTATTTAGTGGAAAACTTGGATTTATTTGACTTTTTAAACTGATGGTTTGTTTAATACAAGTAAATATTTAGTTGACTTTTTATCTCAGGTTTAGTAGAATCTTACTTAAAGAAACAAAACATTTACTTGAAGTCAGTAATTCATTTTTTTTTAATTAAATGTGAAGCTTTCTTAAAGAAACAAAATATTTACTTACATGAAGAAAACAATTTATTTCAGACAAATAATTAGTACCTTTTAATATTATAATTTCACGAAACATATAGTGATTGAACCAAACAAATGTTTGCTTGTTTTAATACTATGATTTATTTATTTTAATGTTGTTAATTACTTGATATTTGGTCGGGAAAATTAAATTAAAAAACGTTTATTCCAATATTTTTTATTTGAACAAAACAAGTGTACACTTGTTTTGTTGTAAATACGTATTTACAATAAACATTAAAAACACACAATATAAAATTAACAATAAACAAAACATATAATATATGAGCGGACAAAAATAGGAACAAAAAATACTTCAGTCACTGAAGTTCAGTGTAAATATTAATGCACGGCATTAATAAAATACACCAAGTCTGTGGGTAAAAGTCATAAGAGGATAAGTCAAAACAAGCAATTTTTCAGCAGAACCTTAAACATGTTCGCATTAATTCAGGAAATATATTTATGGGACATTTGAACATTTTCAAAAACTTAATTTATTATTATCAGATAGGTATCTTTGTTGAAAACACCTTCCTAGGTAGGTACCTATAGTTTAAAAACAAAAATAGTTTGCCAACCAAAATTACTTGCACTTGTCAAATACAAAAAGAAACGGTTTATTTTTAGTTTATGGCCTGTAAGTAAAATGTGCAATTATATTTAAAAGCAACAAGTCAAGTCTGATACATGCATGATCCAAAATAAAATAGGTACCCATATTATCATATAACTTTGCAGTTTCCAAACTACCTAGGTACACAACATTTTAATTAACTAAATCACTTTTACTTACCAACAAAACTAAAAAGCAAATGGGTTAAATTATTTTCTTTGAAGAATTCTTCCATACTATTAAACATAAGCACTTAAACACAAAAATATAACCGTTGATTAAACACCTCCTTCTCTTAAGTTAAGAGTCTTAACGCTTTGTCAAGGACGCTCTGCGAGTTTGTTTGCAAATGCTGCCGGCTGCCGGACAAGCGTCTTTGTCTTTGGAGTCAAATGCTCTAATTGGCTCCGCGAGTCACGTGGACATAAAAGCAAATAAATATGTATTTGCTTCAAGTAAATGTATTTTTGAAACAAACAAATCACGTGTTTACGTTAATTATATGACATACATTGTATCAATTCTATTATTTTGTTAAAATAAGATAGTATATGCTTGTATTAACATTTGATAAAACTAAATCCATACAACCTATATCCAAACAATTTAATTAATTCCTCTAAATAAATATTTCCTTACAATTAATCACAACAATAAGTTGTTTTCAAGAAACTCATGATTTACAACCAAATAATAGTATTTTCTTATTGTAAACAAGAAGTTACTACGAATAAGACAATTTTACTTCATACAAGAAAAACTGTTTCAAATAAATGCATTTTCTTAAATCAAGAGATTACTTTTCTCTGTGTGTAAATACCATAGGATAATAAATAATAATAATAAAATAAATAACTATTGCAATAAACTATAACGGCTGTGACTGAAGATCAAACACCCAAACATATTTACAAGTTCCGATAACTACAAAATGCGCAAACTCGAAGCTTCGCAAGTTGGTGTACGACGTACAAGTTGGTGTACGTACAAGTTGGTGTACGACGTACAGTGTACGTATATTCTTTTTCTATGCTGTACGTAGACACTTGTCATCGGAATATCTCCCACTACAGAATTCGGTTGGCCAAGGTGCAAATGGCCAGGTTCGGGACAGAATATTCATATTAATTGCAAATTTAATAGACTGCGCTGCATCTTGATTTACGTATATAAATATATTTTAGTGTTAGTATCCTATGTTTTTCGGTTTTGTAATTTTTTAAGTAAAACCATAGTGGTTTATTTTGATTTTTTTTTATTTCCTGTACTTGGCAGTGCTTTTTTATAATTTGTAAATTTCTAGGAGGGGGCAGCTGCCCCCCCCTGCCCCTAGCTGGGTACGCCCTTGATTGTCAGTACTGAAAACGCATTCCGAAATCCACTTTCAGTTAAGCGGCCCTCACACGATCATTATTACTGACAGTATTGATTACTGACAGTATTTCATCAGTATTTTTAGTTTCACCTCACACAGTCAGTATTTATATTAGTATTCAGTTTCATAGTTGAATTGTTCCTAGAATTGTCTTTCTGTAGCCGTCTTTCTGTACTTCATTTCATAAATAATGGACAAAAAACATAAGGCTTGCATTGCAATTATTTTATTAAATTGTACAAGTGTAAAGGATCGTAAAAAGAAAAAGAGACGTTGGGTGAAAAATTGGATAGCTAAACGTAAAATATTTACCCATTTAAATTTATTAAATTACATTAAGGATACGGATCCAGAGGATTACAGAAACTATTTTCGAATGAGCAGTGATATAGGTATACTCTGAGCTTCTGAATATGTTAAAGCCGTATATCACTAAACAAAACACAAATATAAGGCAAGCAATATCAGCAAACGAAAGGCTAGCGGTGACATAATCAATAGTTGCCTTGGGTTTTAATTGAACATAAATTTTTTGTAACGTTTCATAACCTCGTTTTTTTTGTCCCTATCCGAATATTCTTTTAATGTAATGTTCCACAATTCGGGCATTGCTCGATATGTATCAACAAATCGTTTTAAAATCGATTTTTTCGTCTCTTCTTGATCATTCCCTTCTTCGGGTCCGGGTGATGACGGCATGGGCGACGTTGCTTCCATGGCTGCGATTCAAATACTGTTGCTATCGCACTCAAACGATCAATATTTTCATCAGTATTTTGGCTCCGCCCAAATACTTTCAGGATCCCGAAAGTATAATCAGTATATTGATAGTCTATTAGTATTTGCCCTTACACAGTCAGTAATACTGTCAGTATTTCGAAATACTGTCAGTAATATTGATCGTGTGAGGGCCGCTTTACTGAGCTCAGTGGTAAATACTACCCTTTTATAAATGTACGGCAGATTAATTTTACTGAAACAACTGGTGACAAAAAAAATATTAATTCAACTCTTTATGCACTTTAAAAACAAGCAATGGTTTACTTAACCATCTAAAAATGTCAAATTGAATTGTTTAATTGAACAACAGATATTCTCATTTTCTTTATTTGACTAATATTTAATATTAGTCAAATGAAAAAAATGACAATATTTGTTCTATATGCTAATCTGGTAAATCAAACATTCTTTAAATGTCCAGGTAACCTTTTTAGCATATTCACTTAACACCAATAAAATGTTAAATTAAAATAATTTGCGCTAATGTTGGGTTAACATTCTGAAAATGTAAAAGAAACATTCTTTAAAAGTTGGTATTCAAAACAAAATTATGGAATTAATATAAAGAGAAAGAATTGAACCTTCCCTCGCCAGAGTTTTTGTTTTGAGTGCGTTCCACCTACTTCAATTTGAAGTAGGTGGAACGCACTTGAAGGTATTTGAACTTCAAATACCTTCAAGTGCGTTCCAATTTTATGAATGCAAAATTAACAAATTTTAAAGTAACATTTACAATTTGTTAAATGAACAAATTTAATGTTTTGGATTTAAAGAGCAACTAAACGTTAATTTAATAGTTTTTGTAGGTAGTTCTAAAAATTTCATTATTTGATTTAACCAATTCCAGCTATTAAATCAAAATAGGATAAACATTTTAACTGAAAAATGAACAAATAAACGTTGACAAACTCTGACTATTGCTTTGACACTAAAATATAGATTAATCCAATAGGTTTTTTAATGAAACAACATTTTCAAAAATGACATTTAGGCAAACGTTAACCTTTATAATCTGTGCGTTAACTCAACTACATTATTTTTTTCGGTGTGTGGTAGACAATGTGGTGATTTGATTAGGAAAGTAGTTTTGGACTTTTATCCGCTTATTTGGTATATATTTAACAACGTTTTGACCTATACTTATACAGGGTGGGTCAATGGAAACACCGGTTTTAGGTGAAAGACAAAAACGCTTGCATACGTCGAATTTTGATTTTAGGTTGACAATTTATTTTTATATTTTCAACCCCTCAACTTTAACCACAAGCGTGGGTGAATTTTTAAGGAGGGTCCAGTGACCCTTCATTTTGAAGTTATTTTTGCCCTGATTATAACCTTCAAGTTGCTAGCTGCTAGCATCCCCGTTGATATGACAGTTTTTCAAAATCTTGGATAATGTTTTGGTTTTTGATTAATAAATAAATAACTAATAAACAATTTATTTTGTCGACCCTGCAGGGTAACTATTTTATCTTAAAAAGTAAAAAATAAAGTAAAAAATTATTTTATACAATTATGCAATTTAACTTGTTGTGTTCTTTAAATTCATCAAAGCAAATAATAACAATTTTTTACAAAAGAAAACTTCCGCTAGATGGTTATTTAAGTATTATTTCTCTTTGAAAAACGATTTCATTGTAGCGCAGAAAATTACCCCGAAACTGAAAACAATGTAATTTAGAGAGCAGGCACGTCAGAGGAGTTTTATTTCACCCTCAGACAAATTTTATTTCACTTTATTTTATACTAAGCGTTTTTTAAAGTTTCTATTTTATTTTATCGCTTGTTGTCTGTAAAAGAAACTCAAAAGTCGTGTACGTGTAATATGAGAAAGTATGTGCTACAAGAGCAGGGATTTTTACGATAACGATTTATTTAATACCTTGGCAATGCTGGCCGTATTTGATAACAAATACGTAATTTAGGGTTTTAGTGGTTTTATTATTTCAGTGAAGGGAAAATAAAACTAGGTTTAAGTATAAATTTGTTTACATTTATTATTATTTAACTATTTCTCTTAAGGTAAGTACTATTTACAAAACAACCACCTTTATACACCAACTCAATAATATATTTCTATAACACCATACTAAGTTTAGTGTTTTTCAGATAGGACACATTATGACTATAAAAACTAATTAAATCGACACATTTGTAATTTTCATAGCATAAAAGTCGCAAATTGTTATTGACTGAAGATTTTTTGCCACCCTATATAACTTTAAAAATCGAAAAGCCTGTGTTTATCTCTAATTTATCGCACGGGCTTTGGATATCGATGGAAAACACTTTCTTTTGTTAATGGATCGGTAAAACCGAGTAGGCAGGGGTTGGCCAATTAGATTCGTAAATAATGTTATACGATTTGACAGTTAACATTAGTTGTTTTTTTTTGTTTGTTTTTTTACATAAATCAATTTTTTTGTATTATTGTTTTGATGGAAAAAGTGGTCAAAAATTTTAACATTTTTTTTGTTAGAACTATGAATACTAATAATGTTTAACCGCAGTAATTTTATGTACAAAATTATTTTGGAAACATTGATTTATTTACAAAAATATAAATAATACATTTACAAATTTCGTTCAAGATTTTTTTTAATGTGTTTTTTTAAGTTTAAAACAAAATTCTCTAGTTTTTAAAAGAATGATGATCAAAAACCTTTAAAATACGTTCTAATTAAAATAGCATTTAAAGTCATAAAAATCAAATCTTTACAAATTTAATTAAAAAAATCAATTAATTTATTAATTTTTTAACATCCTTTCAAATAGCAGTCTTAAAGTTCGCAAATGTAGTACTAAAATGTATGTATTTGGTGATAGATTTTATAAAGAGTTTTCTAAATTATCGATACCCCCTTTTTTACATTCCGAAATCATGGGTGCCAAATTTAAATCTGTTTATAAATAAAACTGTGGTGTCGATAATTTATTCCACCCTGTATCTATGTGATGATGATAAACTTGAAATGATTTTGCACATTGTTACCAACTTAACGCGCACAAAATCCCACTAATAATACTGTTACAGTTACCAGCAAGTTCGGGCGGTTATCGTCGAGATCAGGGCGGCGTAGACGAGCACGGCAAGCCGCGACGGCGATGACATTGAAATTCTGCCACCTGAAAATAATAAAGAAATAAGGTAATACAATTAGTCGTGATTTATATTAGAATAATAATTATATGTGTTTATTGTCTACAATAATTTACATAAATTGAAAAGAGTTCGGCTTTGCCGGTCTTTCACTCTCCCAGGATATAAAAAAACAAATAAGTTAAGCGATAATTGTTATAATAGATATTCCCAAATAGATATTACCAAAATAATGATACATGTAATACAATTACAAAAAAACAAAAAAAAATATATATAACTGGAGCACAATTTTTAAAACAACCTTTAAATTTACTTGTTAAATAAAATTTTTTGTTTGAATGTTTACCATATGAACTGAACTTCGCAGTTTTAATAAATCAGGTAGGTAAATATACAGGTTGTTTCGTTCTTATGAGTTTATGCAAAAAAGTTGAAAATAAGAAATTTGTCATTTGATATACATGTAACACCATTCATTTGATTTAGTCCATTTAAGAATGGTCTCTAAAATTAATACAACATACATATCTAAGGTGACCAACTTTCTAAAATGAAAAACCAGGACACAACATGCCCCTCCTTGCTCTTCCAAAAAATAAACAAAATTTATATTATTTAATATTTATATGGAGTTGTGGTGTAATTGTAACACGATGCTGATTGCAATACTGTATTTATTTACAAATAAACTATTTACAATAAGATGGTAGCTGTTGTCTTCTATGATGTCGATTGTTGTGTTGTATGATGCAGACTGTCTTTGATGATGGTGTGCCTGGTTTTTATATGCAGAAACAGTAATACCCAAAAATACCAAAGCTTAAGCCAGGTAGGTTCTACAGTAAACGCTTGTTTACAAACTATAAACTTAAAATTTACAGGTAATAGTATTTACATAAGATATCTATTAAACAATTGTTGTGATTTAAATTTAATGTTGGGGAAGTTTGAAATTTAATAGTGAGCAGACAACATATTTGCGTATTTACGATTATTGGGATTATAAGACTATTTAAATTTGGAATTTAATGGTGAGCTTAAAATATTAAATTTCGTGTTTGCCTTGGTTCATACCTGAGTACGGGCGAAATTGCCGCTACATTTATTATTTTAAAAAGAGTGTGCTAATAACGTCAATAATAAAAAATATATCCTGAAGGTAATCATTGGCGTTACTACAGGGGAGCCTAGGGGCCGGGTCCCCCCAGACATCGCTGCCCCCCCAGGAAAAGGCTGACTTTTATCTGTTACAATTTTAGTTATTACCAAATTTGCAATAGAAATATGTATGTATCATTTACATATCTTATGTTGTATTTTACTTTTAAACTTTTAAAATACGAGTAGGTACCTATTTTAAAACCGCCCCTGCAAGCTCGCAACCAGCAATCTGAGCAGGATGCTCCCGTAGACGAGTTTTGGTTCGTGCCGGCGGCCGGCCCGACGTGTTTTGCCGCTCCGGGCGAAGATATTTTTGCCCCCCCTTTTTATTCAGCAGGAATAGGAAAAAAAGTAGTTTAACGTAATTATTTTTTTAAATTTTTTATAAGAATTTTTTATGCTTTATAATTACACTTGTCAATGATTATACCCTATATATATATATATATATATATATTAGGGTGAGCCAAAAAAACTAACCTATCGGATTTATGGGTTAAAATGAACCTACATATCGAGAAAAAAATTTCCCTGCAAGGCAAAATTTTTTGCTAATTTTAAAAGGTGTCGGTGAGCATTCTAAGTTTTCCATTGAAATAACACGTAAAAAAATCTTTTTTCATTAAAAAGACTATAACTTTTGAACCGTTTGAGATAAAATTTTTTACGTCGC